TTTTTGGTAAGAAGGTGGAGTAAGTGGATTGTTCATATTATGGCCTTTCGACCTTTCCTGTCAGCCTGCATTATGCTTTTGAATATTCACAAGTACTTTAAATGTGTGAATTGTGTCACAGAAATCTTGAAATTCGCTCAACATAGGAGGTGATCAGATCACTTGATATTTAAAAAGTGTTTTATACAGGTCTTCAAAGCTAGTAGCTGGAGCACTGTCCTGGCTCCAGCAAGCAGGAGCTAGTGCAAATGTTTTCAAGCTGGAGAAATGGTAAAAACCAGGTCTCTAATATCTGTGCTAGGGCTCTAACACCACTGTTAGAGAGGGGCTTGCTGCTGCTTAATTTGGGGCTTTACTGAGGGGAAATAAGGAATAGACTGAAGTGTGTGTCAGCCAGCCCTGGAACAGAGTCTCTGCTATGAGAAACGTGGGCTGCGTTGGCGCTAATTGATCTCAAGACAGAAGGCGGCAGATTCAGTTATCAATTCCAGGAACCCTCAAGTTCACCAAGAACAACTAGACTTTTATATAATAAATGCTTTCCTTGAAAAGAGCGAATAATCCTGGCTCTCCTTCGAACACTTAAGGGTTTGTGCTACCCATGACACCAGGAGAGGATAATTCTGATGTTAGATTCAAGCAGTGGTGTGGCAGTGACTGCTTTATGGTGGTGAACAAGACACAGTGGTGACTACTAACTTCCAATCAATATTAATTTGGATGATAATTTCTTCAGACACTGCAAACTGACCTTAGGTTTACATTACAGAATTGTACATTAATTAAAATAAATCACACATCCAACCAATATCGCTTGTAAGCTTCGTACAATACAAATGTAATACAGGAAGGGAATGCTCAATGAGCTGTTATTGAGTCATTATAATTCATATCTTCCACAAAAGCGAATAGGAAAAATGGAGAGTTGTCGTTACGGTAAACTTGTGTTATATCCAGTGATTAATACATTTGATACACAGGATAAAGTCCATCCTCTGTCACGTTGTTTTAGGCAGTAGTGAATTTCTGAGTATTAGTGCTGACTTGCATGAAAGCATTTTAACTGGAAAATTCTGGTCAGAAAACGTTGGTCTGGGTCTTTTTTTAATTATTTTTTTCCTTTTAGTTCTGGGAATGATTCAAAGGCCTGTGATCTCGGCTAGCTTCATGTTGCAATCTCTGCCAGTGCCTTACCAATCCTTTTCTCTTCTGGCTCTCCACGATCCTCTTGAGCTGTTGTAAGCAGGCACATAAACCCTCAGCAGCGTGCTCGGTGCCACCTTACCTTTGATGTTCTGCTCTCTTGGCTCTGACCTGGGGTTCCCAAGTGGTCTGGGATTTCTTACATCCTCTTGGGGCCTTTGACTTCAAGCCTCTAGCCAGCCTTATTGAATCTGGATCTTGCTGAATCTGAAAGGAAAACCTTGACCTACTGTAAACACCCTAGATGTACGTGTAGTCAGGAGCCCTACAGTGCTTCAACCAACTGAAAGAGGCATTTGCGCTGGTACTTGTTTTGGTGAATGACAATGGCACAAAACTCCTCGCTCTCAGAATGCCCCAACTTATGCGTTTAATGAGATGGTTCTCAGTGGTGGCACAGCGAAGTGTGCTCTAGGACCAGTGTTGGAAAAGCAGTTTAGCAGAAGCATTTGGTATACATGTCATCCGTTTTTACAAAGGCTTCTCCATGTTGGGTTGGAAGGGACCCGTAGAGGTCACCCAGTCCAACCCCCCTGCAGGAGCAGGGACACCTTTAACCAGATCAGGTTGCTCACAGCCCCGTCCATCCTGGCCTGGAGTGTTTCCAAGGATGGGGCCTCCACCACCTCTCTGGGCAACCCGTGCCAGTGTTTCACCACCCTCATTTGTAAAGAGTTTCTTCCTTGTATCCATTCTAAACCTACCCTGCTTCAGTTTCAAACCATTACCCCTTGTCCCGTCACAGCTGGCCCTACTAAGAATATTTTCCCCATCTTTCCTATGGGTTCCCTTTAAGCACTGAACGGCCGCGATCAGGTGTCCCCGCAGCCTTCTCTTCTCCAGGCTGAACAAGCCCAACTCTCTCAGCCTGTCCTCATAGGAGAGGGGCTCCAGGCCTTGAATCATTTTAGTAGCCGCCCTCTGGCCACACTCCAACAGTTCCATGCCCCACTTCTCCCGTATTTTTCATTCCTCAACAGAATAGAAAGGTAAAAAACCCCATACATTGCAGTCACCTTTATAGTTATGCTTGACTAGCCATGTTCCAATTCAAATCATAATACTGGAGGTGAATTTAGGGTGAGGTATTTAATAGTAGGTTCAGCATGATACAAAGCATCATCTTCAATTCTTAATGAACAGTTCCAGGTAGGTTGGCACCCACAAACGTCAACTGTGCAACCTCAGCATTGTGTTCACTTACCTTTCTGTTGTACCTCGCAAGCTTCCTCTGAATTTGAAAGTACTGTCACGTTCTCTGTCCAGGCGCCGCACAATTTCTCCTCATCCTTATATCTCACCCCTGCTGAATGAGTGGCAACACTTTATTATGAAAAACAAATCCCATTGTGTGCGTGTAGCAAGAGCTAATCTCAGCTGCTTTGTTCTATATCAAAGCTGGGAACAGCTCCTGAGATGAATAGGCAAGGCGAAGGTGCGGTGGTTCAAGCCATCATCAAAGTGGTTCATTTAAGCGTGCTACAGAGCAGTAGGATTAGCGCGATTCGCTAGCAAATCACTGCAAATAAACAGAAGAAAACATTGTTTTCCCTTACTGAAATGAAGAGGTTGTACACAGACAGAGATGTCTAGAGAGATTTTTGGGGGATTGGGAGGATGTCTGAGAACAGAAGAAAGAGCTTAGGCAAAAATTGAAATGGTAGCATCCAAACAAAACAAAAAAAAGTCGGCAAGCTCCAGTTATTGTCCCGTTGTTCTTCCATACGTGTCCCCTTCCTTTGCCTTTTCTTTCTACTTACTGGTAACCACGTTGGCTGTCAGCTGGCTCCAGGGCACAAATTCTTTGTATTTATTATCGATTCCCCTTACCACCAATAAGCGTCTTCTCCACAAGCTTTCTCAGCATGAATTGCAACTGCCAAGGCGCAGATGCCTGTGCCAAGCCGTGATGCCAGCCAGTCCCCAGGCCTCTTCCCAGCCACCTTCTTGAGCACCTAGTGGGCCTCGGTGGTTTGCTGCTGCCTAGAGGTTGGGGGGGAGCAGATTCTCCTTTCTCAGCCAGCACGCTGGTGCCACGTGTGTGGATACGCATTTCCACCTGAAAATGTAAAAAGGTTGCCCACCCTTCAGCTGTTTTCAGATGCTTTTCTTACTTTCTTCCCTCTGTCCCATGGATATTGCAACCGAGTCCACGTTTTCTTTCTACAACTGCACTGTAAATGTACAGATTTGACCATGTCAAAGCAACTGGTGTTTTTAATTTTCTGCATATTCTGCATAGAAAAATCAAAGACTCAGAAAAATCTTCATTCAATCCACAGTTAATTAGCTTTCTCATCTACTTGTCTCACTTGAGTGGAATTAAAGAGACTAAAATTAGCAAAATTCATGGCTAAATCCTTCTATCGGTTGTTTGCCACCTGTTTAGTATTGTAGGTTCTGTCTGAACCTGATTGTATGCATTCGTATCGTACCTACTTTATCACGTTGAGTTCGCTATTCACCATTAACATTACCCAAATTTAAACTAGATGCCATTAAAAGTATTTTTTCCTGTCTGATGCTGCTATTGGAATAGTGAACCTTTAGTTCTGAAAATTCAGTCTCGCAGTATCTTTGCTAGATTTTAGTCCTAGCTGGATGGAGAACTTCATGAACTCAGTGAAACACCTCCTGTAATTGCTTCTTGGTGTTCAGCAAGCAAATAGTCCCTTTAGTCTGCCAGGTCTGCGATGTTCATAGAATCATAGAATCGTTTAGGTTGGAAAGACCTTTAAGACATCAAGTCCAACTGTTAACCTAACACTACCATCCCACCACTAAACCATGTCCCTAAGCAAGTCTCTGCAAGGCATCCTAGAAGATCAAAATTACGCTCATCAGTGACTGTCCGCAGAGCCAGCTACCTTCTCTCACCAATCCGTTATGCTGGAAGGAGAAACGTCTGGCTTAAGTGCCACTGCCCCGCTGCCCCCAGCCTGCTGCTTCCCTTCTGGGCTGCCACGTTTCTCACTTGGTTGCCTGAGCAAGATTTAGGTTTTGTAAGTCTTTCGGAGCCTCCTTGTACCATTTTCTATTATCATTGGCCTTTACTGGAGCGGGTTGAGACTTGTGATGTGCTTCTCTTCTTCAGCACAGCAACCACCGTTCTACCTACCTTTTCCCATTTGTCATAACTTTGTCATCCTGTCATTACAATCGGGTTTCTCAGCATATTTTTACCTAACGACCTGCTGTATTCAAAAAAGAGAATCCACAAACCACCTTGTGAAGTCTCACTGCCATGGTTCTCCTTTGCACCCAGGTAGGATACGGCCATACTTCTCCAGCTTATCGCTACGGCTTTTTGCTCCCATTTTGTTTGCCTGATTGGAAATGCGTGGATTTATTCTGGTTTGGTTTGTGTTAATGAAGCTGCAGTCATTTCACAAACCGCTTCTGGTGTTTAAGGGAGTGTTGGTTGAAAACAACTACCAAAGACTGCTTTCCAAAGAAAGCCCCTTTCATTCTGTAACCAGTCATTTTCTGTGGGATGAAGACAAGTGAATCCTTATCCAATGTGGTAAGTGAGGTTTTGGCCACTGGGAATATACGGTTGATTTTCAGGGCACTGTTTTACCTGGGTACATGCTTTGTATCCTGACCCTCATGGGCAAGGTAGGAGCTCCCCTGTTTCAATTAAGACCTTGTTTTCAACAAATAGTTTCAATGCTGAAATTTTCTATTCTCATTCTGCCTGGGAGTGCCCTGAACTGTTGTAGGACCATCCAATTAGGCACTCGGCGGGCTAGTGTGGTAGATCTTCTAATTCTGGTTGCTTTTTCCACCTCTTCTAGGAAGCAGCAAACATGCTGCGTCTAATGCAGCACAGGCTGAAGGAAGAGGAGCAGCACCCGCTCAAGAGTGGAAGTAAGTGGGATTTCTTCACTGCTTGCATTAGCAGAAAAATTATTAAGTGCTGACTACTTAGATATAAGTATCCACCGACAAGCGGAGGGGACATGGGAGAGACAGCAGAGTCAACGGGCTGTATGAGAAAAAGTGGAATGATAATAACTTTAAAAGGATAACAGTGAAATAGAGAACCCAACCTCTGTGAAATGCTCTTCTGCCTTGTAAATCTTCCCTGCAGGGCTGAGGGATGGAAACTGCTGTCCACTAAACATGCTGCGCCGTTGCAACGAGTAGATTTTAGGCTTCATTTTACTGTTATCCAAGCCTGAACAGGCTCGCTGTAGACACGGCGCTTGTCCCAGCACACTGGGATTGCTGATGAAAGATTGGTTTGCAAGCAGGCTTGGTCAGAAGATTCTGCTCAGCAAAACGCTTGCGTGTCGGCGAGCGGTCTCGTTGGTCTGGGGGACTGCTTGGCTGCCTCGTTTTACCCACATGCCTTGCCAAACCAGAGTGTGATTTCAGTCCTCAGCCATTAGCCTGCCACGCTGCGTGGCGCGGAGTTTGGTTCGGTGTTTGGGCTCGTTCTTTGTGATGCATCTATTGGATCATAACTTTCTCAGTTTGAAATCCTCTTTAATATCATTAACCTTCAAAGTGGGGCCCACGTTTGCCTGCTTGCGTTTGCTTGATTTTAGTGTACCTGCAAAATGAGGATGCGATTAAGATTTGAGGGGTTTTTTTTCTAAACTTACTCTTAATTAATTGGAATTCTAGCTGGGGATCAGAAGGGAGCAATAACCTCTTGAGATTTTGTAGAAAGCTAACAAACCAGATTTTGCTCCTTTTGAGCCGAGCGTCAGCAAGAACTTCCTCATTAATTACCCCTGTGAATTTAATATTACAATGTGTGCATGTTTATATGGTAGTGGGAGAAAATAGAAGGGAAGTTAATTCTCAGGATCAGAGGGAGAGTTGGTGAAAGCTGAAATTAAGGTCATAGAAGTTGTGCTTTACATTTTTATTGGTGGCAGAGACTTTCAGACCAAGCTCGTGAAAGAGGAACTTCACTCGTTTCTGCCCTTCTTTGACGACTTCTGCTTATGTCAGTGCAATAAAAAGGGAATAAGTTTTGGCTGAAACATAGGATTTGTAATATAAATTACAAGAATGTGGAATTGTTTCAGGTATTTACTTGAGTGAAAAAGTCCGTGTCCTGCTAGCTGACAGTTGCCAGGGTGAATAAGTTCAAGAAGAGAAGAACATCCATCATCCGTAATTAGTATATTATGATTTACTATGATTTCTAATTATGAAGTATAACGTGACAATTTGCTGACCTCCTTTCTCCTCATCTGTGGATTTTTCACTTGGAAAACAATTAATTATTTTGCAACTCTGAAATAATGCAAACCTTGCCTTTCAGTGGGTGATATAACTGCCACCTAACAACATCTGATTATGACTTGTGGTGGCCTAAAAATGCAACTGTAATACATCTTTATTCAAGTACTTAATTGTAATAATTAGTATTTATTCTAGTGCTAAGAGCACCGGGATCCCAGTTTGCAGTGCTGGCTCATTTATTGTCGGTCCCATACCCTTGGAAAATCAAGTCATCTTTGTCCGCTCCGGTCTGCCTTTATCTGCATGCGGCGTGGAAGCCTGCAGAGCCGTAACCGAGACAACAAATTTGGCTCTTGGAGGCTGTTTCCCCAGTCATGAGCATAGAGCACAGCTTCATTACTGGGTGCTGGAAGGTTAATTTATTGAATGTATGTAATGTAAAGCTCTCTGAGACCGCGGTTTGCTAATGTATAATGATCAGGTGCCAGGCTGTGCTTTCCCCATAGACTAGACCGCACTCTCCTCCTCTCCTTGTTAGTTAAACTGTGCCCTTCACACAATTCAAACCTGGGAGATTTACTTTGATAAGAGAATGCAGAGGTTGGTGTCTTCAGTGGCAGAGTCCCCCATTAGGGGTTTACGTTAATCCTAGCATCCTAGTCGTGAGAAGATGATGTATTTTGCACAAGAGGAGACAAAGAAACAGCAGCAGAATTGGTCCAGCATCACTGAACAGCTTTGCCTGCCCAAGGTTAACAGTGAAATTCAGGCTAGAACTAGGAAGCACGATAAGGGATAGAGTTTCTGCCGTCGAGGATTCCCGAGAGCCCTACGACCTCGGTCTGGCCGTTAGTGATTTTATCAACGAGTACTGTGAGCACTGTGTGTATTGTGGGGAAATGGTGTAAAGCACTACAGGCATCAGCACTTAAACCTTCTTCCACCTGCCTTTGGAGATTCTGTGTGCGACATCCCTCCTCCTAAAATAGGATGTGCCCTGTTAATGAGGCAGACGCAAGGAAGATCAAAGAAGGGCTTTTCTTTGCCATCAGAAACGTCTTTCCAAAGTAGGTTTGGGGAAGAAAAAACACTTCCACTTGCATTTTTGAGTAGTGCCCCACACACAAGGCAAGGTGCTTTTATCCTAAGTTTTCTTCCATTTTCAGTGTGTCAAAAAATTTAGGGCTTTGTTGTCTGGGCCTTCAACCCAACAAATACATTGTGCCTGCTCGCAGGACTGTTCAAGTAGAGCCTGCTCTGACTTGGTCTTGCTCGTGGGGCTCTGGGGATGAGGGGATTAGCTTCTTCCCCTCGCAGCTCCGCTCAGAGGAAGGTGGGCAGGCTGGCCTGATGTCTCCCAGTATCCAGAGACTCTCTGGCTGAATCTCGAGGGTTCGGGCTGGTGGAGTGAGCTTCCTCTGAACAGTTTCATTGCTTTCCTACACAGCGGGGTAGCACGGGGCCAGTGCCTCCCGCAGGGGAAAGGGAAGATTCTCTAACTCTCATTACGCTTCGCCACTGAGAGCTGCAAAACACTTAATGAGGCTCTTCTAACAGCATAGGCTGGAATCTGGTGATAAATGTGTTACCGTTATCTGATAAAAGTCCATCCGTTCTGCCCCTGCAAGCACTCTTACCTGTGCGTACCCTGGTAATCGATGCAGTTCTCTTACTGTCTGGATCCTTCGACCTTCTCTTCTGCTAATTTGGTAGGAAGGGTTGCAAATGAACAGTTTGTTTCTCCGCAGCCAAAGTTGCACGAGTTCTGGATGGCTTTCAGTTGAGTTTCAGGCTGAACTAACGCCAGGGACACCCAAATCATATTTCTTGTAAAGAAGAGCTGGGGAATGTAGGTTGAATTGCGCAGGTCTGTGTTAAAAATATAGAAAGGCCATGGATATGTATTGGTACTGGCGTAAAATTTGCAAAAAATATTTAGTATCATTCAGAAACAGCCTGGTTCTTTTTTTCTTTTGCTAGCATACGTTGCAAATGATCTTTTATTTCTGTCAGAGCATCTCTATAAAACCACTGCACTAAAAAAACCCCTGCACTAAAAAAAAAAACCAAACCAAAACAAAACTTAATGTTAGCTTTTCTTATGTGAAAAACCATTCTTAAATTCTGTAAAGGTATTGAACTCTACATACGGATCAGGCTTTGAGTATTATTTGCATGATGCAAATATACGCAATTAAGTATTTACAGCAGTACAGAAATGGGTTTTTGTGAGGAATGGTAAATAAATTGCTGTTATTTTTGTAATCTTTAATTCATGTAAGATGCTCTTAGAGAAACCAATATGCGCTGGGGTGGTTTTCACAGGATGTGCTGCCCTTGTGGCACGTCCAAGGTTGGTGCAAAGTGACAAACGCCAATTGACTGAAACTCGGGGCTTGGGTTCCTTGTGGGCAATGGCACGGCGACTCTTAAAGTGCTGAATTAAACACTGCTCATGTGAGCACCGTGAAGGCTGCTGACAGATCTGTTGGCAGGCATAGATACATGGCGAGTTGCTCTGGTGACGGTTTGGTGTGAGAGGAGAGGGCTGGGAAGGTCACTGACCACAGCAGAAATTCAAGATGGTTTTTTTTTCAGGTTTGCCCAAGGTTTGCTGGGCAAAAAGTAACAAGTGGAAATGTTTCTAGACTGAAACACATTTTTTTCAGGCTAATCAGCTTATTACATTCACAGATCCTTCTTTCTCACTTTTTTACACACTTTTTCATGTGTTTTCACACATTCTTTTTAAGCCTTTTTTTTGTCTATTTAAAAGCAGACTGTACAAGCCACAGTTTAAAAAAGTAACATTTTTTTTTTCAAAAATCTAAAAATAAACCCTTTGATTTTTTTCAAAATTTTTCCTGTATTTCCTTTAGGTAATGTTATGCCCAGGATTTGATTTCAGTTTGCAAAAGTATTTGCTCTAACAGCATGGTTTTTTCCTTGACTGTACCCTCTCTGGTGTGCCGCTCCAGTCAGCCCACCCCACCTACTCTCGCCCGGTCTGTAGAATGAATAAACATCCATGTTTACGCAGCATTTTGAAATTTGCACTGCTTCAATATCGTTCAGCCATAGCAACGGGATTAACTGATGCTCCTGGAGAGTTTCACTTCGGCTCCATACATGGCCAAAGTGTTTCCTTGGCTAGTTCTACTTGCTGAGCTAACTCTTTCTTTCCTGACGGCCAAGCCAAACGTCCTTAGCTCTATCATCTTGCTCAATGAAACAGAGCAAACAGATGTCGTGCTTTGGATAGCAAATCATGTGACGCTCTTGCAGTTTGATGGCGCAATGAATATCTTGTATAGAATAGAATCATTTAGGTGGGAAAAGCCCTTTAAGCTCCCCCAGCCCAACCATTCCCCTAACCGTGCCATCCCACCACTAAACCCTGTCCCCAAGCACCTCGTCTGCCCGGCTGTTAAATCCCCCCAGGGATGGGGACTCAACCCCTTCCCTGGGCAGCCCCTTCCAGTGCTTGACAGCCCTTTCGGGGAAGAAATTTTTCCCAATAGCCAACCTAAACCTGCCCTGGCGCAACTTGAGTCCATTTCCCCTCCTGCTCTAGAACTGATGCTTTAAAATCCAACAGCAGATAAACAAAAAGCCCCATTGCAACGATTGCGGCATTTGAAGTGTAGCAGCCAGTCTCTGGGTGGTTC